TAAAGATGCCACCAGAAAACTACTAGAGCTAATGAATCTATGAATTTGGTAAAGTAGCAGGATACAAAATTAATGCACAGAAATCTCTGGCATTCCTATACACTAATGATGAAAAATCTGAAAGAGAAATTAAGGAAACACTCCCATTTACCACTGCAACAAAAAGAATAAAATACCTAGGAATAAACCTGCCTGAGGAGACAAATGACCTGTATGCAGAAAATTATAAGACACTGATGAAAGAAATTCAAGATGATATAAACAGATGGAGAGATATACTATGTTCTTGGATTGGAAGAATCAACATTGTGAAAATGACTATACTACCCAAAGCAATCTACAGATTCAATCCAATCCCTATCAAACTACCATTGGCATTTTTCACAGAACTAGAACAAAAAGTTTCACAATGTGTATGGAAACACAAAAGACTCCGAATAGCCAAAGCAATCTTGAGAAAGAAAAATGGAGCTGGAGGAATCAGGCTCCTTGACTTCAGACTACAAAGCTGAACTACAAAGCTACAGTAATCAAGACAGTATGGTACTGGCACAAAAACAGAAATATAGATCAATGGAACAGGATAGAAAGCCCAGAGATAAACCCACACACATATGGTCACCTCATTTTTGATAAAGGAGGCCAGAATACACAATGGAGAAAAGACAGCCTCTTCAATAAGTGGTGCTGGGAAAACTGGACAGCTACATCGAAAAGAATGAAATTAAAACCCTCCCTAACACCATACACAAACATAAACTCAAAATGGATCAAAGCCCTAAATGTGAGGCCAGACACTATAAAACTCTCAGAGGAAAACATAGGCAGAACACTCTGTAACATAAATCACAGCAAGATCCTTTTTGACCCACCTCCTAGAGAAATGGAAATAAAAACAAAAACAAACAAATGGGACCTAATGAAACTTAAAAGCTTTTCAACAGCAAAGGAAACCATAAACAAGACGAAAAAACAACCCTCAGAATGGGAGAAAATATTTGCAAGTGAAGCAACTGACAAAGGATTAATCTCCAAAATTTACAAGTAGCTCATGCAGCTCAATATCAAAAAAACAAGCCACCCAAACCAAAAATGGGCAGAAGACCTAAATAGACATTTCTCCAAAGAAGCTATACAGATTGCCAAAGAAGATACATAGATAAACACAGGAAAGGATGCTTAACATCACTAATCATTACAGAAATGCAAATCAAAACTACAATGAGGTATCACCTCACACCAGTCAGAATGGCCATCATCAAAAAATCTACAAACAATAAATGCTGGAGAGGGTGTGGAGAAAAGAGAACCCTCTTGCACTGCTGGTGGGAATGTAAATTGATACAGCCACTATGGAGAACAGTATGGAGGTTCCTTAAAAAACTACAAACAGAACTACCATATGACCCAGCAGTCCCACTACTGGGCATATACCCTGAGAAAACCAGAATTCAGAAACAGTCATGTACCACAATGTTCATTGCAGCTCTATTTACAATAGCCAGGACATGGAAGCAACATAAAGTGTCCATCGACAGATGCATGGATAAAGAAGACGTGGCACATATATACAATGGAATATTACTCAGCCATAAAAAGAAACAAAATTGAACTATTTGTAGTGAGGTGGATGGACCTGGAGTCTGTCATACAGAGTGAAGTAAATCAGAAAGAGAAAAACAAATACTGTATGCTAACACATATATATGGAATCTAAAAAAAAAATGGTTATGAAAAACCTAGGTGCAGGACGGGAATAAAGATGCAGACCTACTAGAGAATGGACTTGAGGACACGGCGGGCAGGGAAGGGTAAGTTGGGACAAAGTGAGAGAGTGGCATGGACATAGATACACTACTAAATATCAAATCAATAGCTAGTGGGAAGCAGCTGCATAGCACAGGGAGATCAGCTCGGTGCTTTGTGACCACCTAGACGGGTGGGATAGGGAGGGTGGGAGGGAGACGCAAGAGGGAAGAGATATGTGCATATATGTATAGCTGATTCGCTTTATTATAAAACAGAAACTAACACACCACTGTAAAGCAATTATACTCCAATAAAGATGTTAAAAAAAAATAAAAATGCATCCCATTGGAAAGGAAGAAATAAAGCTGTCTTTATTCACAGATGACATGACTAAGTAGAAAATTCCAAAGAATCTATAAATAAGCCTCCTAGAACAATAATTGACTTTAGCAAGGTAACAGAATACAATGTCAATATACAAAAGTCAATTGCATTTCTATATACGAGCAACAAGAGCAACCCCCAAAATGAAATACTTAAGTATAAATCTAACAAAACGTGGAAGATCTATATCCTGAAAACAAATGCTGATAGAAAAATGAAAACAGAAATAAAGAGATAAGCCATATTGTGTTCATAGATTGGAACACTCAGTATTGTAAAGATGTCAATTCTTCCTAAACGAATCTATAGATTCAATGCAATCCATTCAAAATCCCAGCAGAATTTTTCACAGATATTGACAAGCCAACTCTACAACTTATATGAAAAGGCAAAGGAACTAGGAGAGCCATAACGAGTTTGAAAAGGAATAAAATTGGGAGATTTATACTACTTGCTTTCAAAATTTATTATAAAGTCACAGTATCAAGACAGTGTAGTGTTGGCATAAAGCAGGCCTCTAGATCAATGGAATAAAATTGAGAATCCAAAAATAAACCCTTACAATTATGGCCAATTGATTTTCAACAAAAATGTCAAGATAAATCAACAGGGAAAGGATAGTCTTCTCAACAAATGGTGCTGAAACAACTGGAATTCCACATGCCAAATCCTTGACTCACAGTTTACACCTTACATAAGAATTAACCCAAAATGAATCATAAACCTAAGTGTAAAACATAGAACTATGAAACTTCTTGAAGAAAATGTAGAAAAATTTCAAGACTTTTAGTTAGGCAAAGAATTCTTAGGTACAACAACAAAATTCTGATCCATAAGTAGATTGATAAGTTGGTTTACCAAAGTTAAAAAACTTTTGCCCTGAGAAAGACACTGCTATGGGAATAAAAAGATAAGGCACAGACTGAGAGAACTGATTTGAAAATCACATTTCTGACACAGGACATATATCCAGGTTATGTAAAGAACTCTCAAAACTCAATAATAAGAAAACAAACAACCCAATAAAAATAGGTACTCAAAATTACCTTTGTGTAACCCATCTAGGCTGTAAATTTTTATTTGAATTTGTGTATTTTTCCCAGCCAGTTATGAGTCCAAACTCACCTTCTCACTAATTTTTTATTTATACCATATTATTTTGACTCTGGAATTAGGCTTTTCATCTCTGTGAACCTTTGGTGCACTTTGTACTGACCTAAAAAAATAATACTAGTAGTTTTCTTTGAACTCAAGACTATTTTTTCCTTTCAAATAAAACTGGCTCTTTACACACACACACACCCAAATAAGTTATAAACTTCTGAGACATCAAAACTTTACACTGTCACCTTTTAAATAATGAAGCCTGAGCATGAATCATCACATTTTTAATCATCATACTTCCTTCTTCCCCTGCTACCAAATCTAAACAATTCTGGAATACAATGATGAAAGAAATGAACTTTATTTTCCCTTTGCTCGTATTTCTTCATTTATTTCTCATCACCTGGTACCATGTTTTGTAAGTCATTGTAAATCACGTTTGGTAACAATGTGAGGGACAGTAGAACAAACAAACCAAGAGATTCCTCATGAAAGAAATTCTTTAAGATCAAGTTATTTAATATGTGATCCTCTTCCTCCAAGGGAACGCCTTTTTTGGCCAGTACCATACCTGCTTAGGCCGTATTTCTCTGCTGGAAACCAGAGACAGACTAAACCTTGACGATTTCTAGCACTATGCCCAGCCTGTTTCCAACTACTGCAGGCTTCTCTTAACCTCCCTTATTTTTCACTATAGTACTGCTCATCACCTGACATAGGAGACAAAACATAAATAGGTCCCCTTCCAGTAGACTGTAAGCTCCATGAGAACAGAGATTTTAACATTCTTATAGATTCCTTTCAACCCCAGGGCACTGTCTGCCATCCAGTAGGTGTTCAATAAACATTTGTGAATTAATGACTGCCCAAGGCAACTCTCTACCTCATTCCCTCACACTCTGCCTGGGCAGCCCTGGGCAGGACTGTTGAGGGAAACAACAAGGTATGTTGGCCACCACTCCCTCCTTTCTTCCAGGATTAGTGACTAGATCTGTCTGCCAATTTCTGTGCTAAGGAGATATTGAGGATGGAGGAATAGGAGTAGTAGTCTCCTGGTTGCCCCATCTAACACCAAATGCCCACCCATGTCCACCACGTCAAATGGAAACAAAAAGCAGCTCTCACTTCATACTTCAAATGAAAACAGGCTAAATGCTTTAAAAGCAGTAGACAGTGGAGGCTGGTTCCCTACTGAACACGATTATATAGTATTCACCCGCTGGACTATCACCAGGAGAACTGTTTTCTGGTCCAGGATCTACCACTAACTGCATCTTCTCCAAGTCCCAGCCTGTTAGCTTGAAGACAGCTAAGGACGCCGAAACAAAGACATGATTTAGAGCAAATGTTCTCAGTAAGGGGCAGGGGAGAAGGTGAAGGGGGCACTGGGGAGTGGGGGGCACGGCAGAACCAGCTGTGAGGCTTCTTCAAACTACACACGGCCCCTCCCCAAACTCCTCCACGCTAATCCCCGCACAGTTACCCCCACAGAGTGAGCCACTGTTGCTGTCACTGTGGGAGTGTGACAGACCCAGAAAAACTTTCCCAGGTTTTGAGTGTAAGCTCTTTGAGGAATGGGACCGAGATTTCGGCTTCTTAGTGATATCCAGAGGGCATCTAACACAGGGCTTCCCGGTCTCTACCTGCGCCTCCAACCTCAGCTCCTTCCCCCCCCTCAGCCACACCCTACACTTCCCCTACCTCCTGAGCTTCTCCTGCTTGCCTGTAAGGCCATGTCTTTCATCATCTGTCACCACCTGCAGGAGACACGGGTGACCGGCTACCTAACAGCCCGACAGGCAAGGCAGTCTCGCTTTCGGCCTTGCTAACAGAATTCCGATTTTCAGACAGGGGCACCAACGGGCTCAAGGAAGGTGACCCCTCCCCCAGCTCCAGAACACGGCTGGGCCACGACAATCACAGCCACCCTCTCCTCCTTTGCCAGTGACTGGCTCAGCACGGGCGTATGACCATTCTGGCCAGTGACACAGGGAACCGCTGAGAAATTCTGACCTTTGTTACCTAGAGAATCACTGAGAAGCACGCCGTCTCCCTCCCTTTTTGCTCTACATGTTATCACGTGAAGGCGTGATGGAGCTCCAGTCACCCCGTGGCAGGGCAGGGAAAACCCAGAGAATCTTCAAGAAGCCAACCCGGAACTGTGGCCACTTTGAACCACCTACCTCTAGACTTCTTAAGCAAGACAGTAAAGGAACCTAACTAGCGTTACTTACAACAGGAAGTACCCTACCACACCACACCGCTTGGCCTGGGAAGTCCCTGCAACTTTTCTTCCTACTATCCCCTACTATCTCCAATTTAGAGCTCAAGTACAGTTTCCTTGGGAAGTCTTTGCTTGTTCCCAGACGGTTACACAGTCCCAGACTCTGTTCTCTGCACATCTGCCTCTCCAACTAGACCGTGAGTTCCTCAAAAGCAAACATGTTCACCCTTGGCAGAGGCCCTGGTGTATTCTGGGCATTTATTAAATGCTGAATGAATGAATCAACCAACAAGCAAACAACAAAACAAGGAATCAAAGGAGGAACATGCAGGATGCCTTCCTTGCCTGGGATAAGACTTGACAATTGACAGATAGAACATGGCACCCAGGCAGTCTACACTCCACTAAAGACTTCCTTTAGGCGGTGGTGAGCAAAGGCGGAGAGAGTGCAGGGAACAGGTCCTATTTTATCTGCCCAGAAGTCAGACCTCTCATTGGGAACTGTCCCTGCCCAATCCCCGGCACCTGGGGTGGGAGTGACTATCACAGTGGCACCTGAGCAAAGTACCCACCGCTATGGTGGAAACCCACTCCCTGTCCCCTGAGATGGCTTGGCCCCGCTTTGGTCTAGTGTATCAATAACATTTGCTACAAGGATAGAGGTGATGGAAGAAGAGAGATCCCTCCTATCCCCCCTCTCTCTAAAGGAACAGATAAGCCTGAGATGCCAGTGCTTTTTATCACTCCCTACTAAGAACAGTCAACACAGAGGGAAAAAGAGAGAACAAGCCCGGAAACCCTATGTGAGCCCCTGGATCAAGCTATGCCTCAAGCTAAAACCCTCAGCCTTTTCATTTATGTGACCCAATCAATTTCTATACTGCATAGAGCAATTTTCAAGTGACCAAACCCAACCCAAAGAAAAGAATTCTGACAAATACAGTCAGTAATGATGAAAGCAAGCCGATAACATCCCTTCTATATTCAGGACCTGTGCAGTCACCTCTCAAACCCGGCTTCTAGAATGGCGTCAGGAAGTAAAACTGCCTGGAGGAGGCCTAGCCATGAACAAGTTAGAATGGAAAAAATGCCACCCCCCAAACCACACACCACCACCTTCCCTCCTAAAGGAGGGTACTCTGAGCCTCCTGGATCTCCCTTCTGTTCAGAAAGGAGTGGGGACCTCTGGAAGGCATGAAGTGTTACATTAACACATAGGGGGAAAAATGGAGAGAACTTTCATCAAGCAACGTGCTATGGGCTTTATGAACATCGTATAACTTAAGGCCATTGTAATGATTATAATACCCTTTTTACCTTTGAGCAAACTGAGAATCAGCGAAGTTAAGCAACTTGCTCAAGGTCACACAGCTAGTAACTAGAATTTAAATTCTAGACTTTTTCCACTTTATCACACCGATGGCCGGGGCCTGGGAGATGCAGCGCACCCTCCGCCTCCACCCCAACCCCCGACAGCGCCCCAGGACACACAGACCTGGATGGAGCCTTACAAGCGCAGGCCCCTCGAGTCAGAGCAGCCTTGCATACCCAGTTTTTGGAAGCCCCAGGTAACTAACCCAGATTGATGTCGGACACTCAACGCCAGCAACAAAAGTAAAGCTCCGGGCAGAGGGAGCAGCTGCACCTGAGCCGGCCCCTGGGAAGCGCCGCAGAGGGAGAGGCGGGAGCTCGCTCGGGTCTCCCCCGCGGACCTGAGTCTCCGCAGCAGTGGGGCCGCCAGCCTCCCCTCTCCCCACCAGCGCCGCGGACAGAGCGCCTCCGCGCCGCCCGGGCCGCTCAGAGACCCACGCAGCCCCGGCCCTGTCCCCGCGCCCGCCCCCGCCCCCAGCTCCAGCCCGGTGCAGAGGGTCGCAGCTGTTCGCCCCCAGGCAGCTACGGGGCCCCGACCCCTCCGCTGTGCCGCGACCCCGGCGCGCTCGCTCCCCCGGCGCGCCAGGCAGGGGAGCCCTGCACTGCCCGCCGCAGCCGCTCGGCCCCGCAGGACCCGGGCGCGGGCCCCGCCGTCCCCCGCCGACCGCCGCCCCCAGCCCGCTGTGCCCGCCCGGCTCACCAGCTCCGCCGCGCTCGCCGGGCCTGTCCGCGCGTCCGGCCGGTCCCTGTTCCAGGCACCCCGTCCCGGCTAGCAGCTCACTGGCGGCTGGCTGGCGTTGGTGCGGCCCCTCCCCGCCCCGAGCCACCTGGGACGCCCGGGAAGGGGGCGGGGCCGAGACAGGTGGGCCCCGCCCGCCTCGAGCAGCCCGGGCCTCGGGCTCTTCGGGGATTCTCCACGGGGTGGAAGTGACGCCCCGGCGGCCGCTTAACAGGAGACACCTGGGACGGTTAGTCCTTGGCAGGCGGCGGGAAGCCAGGGCCCGGCCTGTTTCCACACAGCCTGGCCCGCTGGGGAAGTGGATCGCAGAGCGTGGGAGTCGGACCCCGCTGAGCAGGAAGAGGGGAGGCCAGCCCCTTTCTTTGTGGGCTGTAGAACCGAGACCCTTACTGTGAAAGTGATGGGGCCAGGGGCAAGTTAGTTCAGAACTGGAAGAGCTCAGAAAGGCCTTTTCTGACCGTTCCACCCTCCCCCATCCCCACTTTACACACCCCACTTTATTAGGTAACCCAGAATTTTAAGTTCACTGGTTCTGGAATCAGATCATTTAGGTTAAAATCCATTCCCCACTTACAAGGTATGTTAATCTCTCTATGCCCCAGTTTCCTCACCTAAAAAATGACGATAGTACTAGTATATCATAGGAAAAAGCTGGGAGACATAAAAAGAATAGCCTACCTTCAGTGAGCAGTTACTTTGTGCTATCCACGATTCCAGGTGCTTAGGCTCTCTTTTGAGTTGACTTTAGAGTAGAAATTCTTCATCAAGGATCACAAACCTTGAAACTGGATTCCGCATTCTGCCTACACACATTTTTTTCCTGAAGAGAGCATCCACAGCTGTCCTTAGATTTGCAAAAAGCCTTGGGTCTCAAGACTAGTTAGGAATCACTGCCTTCCAGACTTAGCCAACAGTTTTAGAGCTGACAGACTTGTGAGAGATCACACAGGCCAAACATCCTTGAGAATGAAGATCACCGGATGCCTGCCCAACACGCAGATCACTGCTCCCAAGAATTCCGATTCTGGAGATCGGAGTGGTTTGGGAATAAGCACTTCAGGTGCAATTCACTGACAGGTGAGCCTAGGAAACCGATCTCATCCAAACTTCTCATTTCTCAGGCGAGGTTAACAGGCCTAGGGATCGGTTCACTTGGAATCATCTTCCAGCCCGCACCTGCCAAGGAGCCTCCCTTCCAAGTGAAGCCCTCACCCCACCTGAACCACTTAGCAAACAAAACAGGCTTTTTTCAAGCAGCGCAGCTAATATGCGCAGCTACCTCTGGGTTAGCCCTTTAAATCTCAAAGAAGCCTGGACCGTTCTTGCCAGTACTACGGATACCTCCCTCCAGTACCCACGCCCCTCAGCCCGGCCCATCCCCCTCCACTTACCCCACTGTATCTAGCTCTACTATTTGAACAGCTGAGGCCATTCAGCTAACACTTTCAAGTAACATCCTACAAAAATGTAGATGTTTTGTTCCACTTCCTAAAGCTACAGGCTAATTAGACCCTGAAACAGAGGACTTCGGTCTGATGCCATTTCACTGTTGTGAGGCCCACAGTGGGAAACACTTCTTTCCAGGCAGATCTTGGCAAGTACTGAGTCTGAAGCGAGAACAGGGCAGGCAGCAGCTGCAGCAAGAGTGGTTGTTTCAGGGATGCCCAAAAATGTCAGCCCAAGAATTATCAGGCAAAGTCCAGAATATTCCCCTTTTGACCGGTGAGATTCTCTCCGTGCTTACCAAGGGCAGCCAAGGATGCATGTGTGTCTTCGGGGTTTTGGTGTTCACCACTCACAAAGTCCTGATGCAGCAGAAAGTTGAAATAACCTTCCCAAAGTGAGTTGAGCAAACCTCTCCCAAGGCAAGCAGGAAAAATTTCCAAGGTGGCATGCTGTAGCAGTACCATTTCCCTGAGAAGGAGACTATAAAAAGATGCAGCTGGCCCCCTCAGCCCTGTGCTTGACCCTGAGGATGGGCAGCAAATCAGCTTTTCCATATTTATCCCTCAGTATTATCTTTTACCCTCCCGAGGACTGTGGATCAGCGTGAATTCGCTTGGCTGTCTAAAACACATCAGCCAGGGATGGGCTTGCCCTCTTTTGCTCGGTTTCAGAGTGAGCACAGAAGCATGGACTACAAATGCACGGGTCTGCTTACAAAGTTGTTGGCTACAAAAATGCCCAAATGCCTTTGTTGCTGTATTTGTAAATGCAGGAAGAAGCTCTTGGTTATTCCAAATTTACTCTTACTTTCGAAGGCAACACAAACATATTTATCATCTTTTTAATTTGCTAAGTCAATGAGGAACTGAAATACCAGTGTGGAGAAAATTGTTTGTGTAAAATCAGAGTTCTAGTATCATGAACACATCAAGCAAAATCTGCCTCAGGACTTTTGCACTTACTGTTCCTTCTGCTTGGAACTCTCTCCAGATCTTTGCAAGCCTGCTTCCTTCAATCATTCACAGAGGCCTTCCCTGACCACCCAAGCCATGTAGTATCACAGCAGCTTGTTCTGTTTTCTTCATAGCACTTAAATGTACTGAATCATTTTAGAAAGCGTTGGTCACTGGTTTATAATCTGCGTCTAAGAAAATGAAGACTTTTTCTTATTTACCACCTCTCCCCAGCTCAAAAAACAATGCTGAGTACAAAGCAGGTGCTCAAATCTTTGTGGGAATCTTGATGAATGCTCACATTTTTGCGGCGGGCTCTGAGTGCAACACATGGAGATGTCAGCTGCTCCTGTACATTGCTTAGGCCTGGGAATAAGCTCTGGTCTAGGAGTAAAGCAGGATCTCAGCTCAGTCTCTCTATGCTCCTCAGCAGCCATGTGACCCTGGGAGAGTTTAGCTTCCTGGTTAAGATCGTGGGCTCTGTGGACTTCCCTGGCAGTCGAGTGGTTAAGACTCCATGCTCCCAACGCAGGGGACACAGGTTCGTTCCCTGGTCAGGTAACTAAGATCCCAAATGCCTCACAGCGTGGCCAAAAAAATGAAAAAAGAAACGAAGAAAAACCCCAAAAGAACATGGGCTCTGGAGCAGCTCCACCACTTCCTAGCTCTGTGATGTTGGACAACTCACTTCACCTGTCCACACCTCACCACATCCGCCTGTGCGGAGAATAACAGCAGCACCTCATCCATCGCTGGTGAAGAGATTCCATAATGCACATGCAGGACAGGCTATCACCGTGAGCCAGGCATGGTGCCAAGCGCTTCACACAGAGAGGTTAGGTAACTAGTGCGAGGCACTCAGGTAATCCAGGGAAGAGTGGGAGCTACTGGAACTCTGGTCCAGAAGCTGCTGAAGTCCACGTTTTTTTTTTTTTTTTTCGGTACACAGGCCTCTCACTGCTGGAGCCTCTCCCGTTGCAGAGCACAGGCCCTGGACGCACAGGCTCAA